TATATTACTCAGAGGTTATAATAAATTTTGATAGGAAAACAAAATATATTGCACCAAGTAGAAAAATCTAGCTAGTAAGCACGAGAATTCGTGAAGAGATTGAGAAATTGGGTTAAGTCGACATTATTAACCACCTGATCAGCACTGGGAGAAACTTTCTTCTATTTAAGGTCCAATAAGCACATATCTTCCACATCTCTGTCCTTATCTCTGTAGCTTGCTAGCTAGCTATCAGAGACATAGAGGCTGGCTCTCGCCGGTACCTTGGAGGGTGAAGTTGAGATCCATTCGCCTGCTGATAAGTTCTTCAACTTCCTTGTAACTCAACTTCACCATGTTCAGAACATCACCGATCACGTCCATGAAACTAAGGTGCACCAAGGAGACTGGCACAGCGTTGGTCCTGATCACGTCAAGCACTGGACTTTTACCGTCGGTAAGCCTTCCTCATAGTCAATTCATTCTTCAGTCCTTTCGTTGTTTCAAATTAATTTTCTCTCCATGCAGTATCTAATGCTTCACTCATATATGGTTCACTTATTTAGTAAGCATTATTGACGATCATTATTACAGATGGTAGGTGGAAACTTGTAGGGAGCACATTGAAGAGATGATCGAGAGAAGAAGTCGATCACGTTCAACCATTTTGATGGACATGTTGGTGAGAAGTACAAGACTTTAAAGTCTAAGCTTGAGCGTTTGAAAGGGGCATTAATAATGGGGCCGTTGCGAAATGGACTTACCAGTATGAGCAGCTCCATGAGGATGTGCCTCCTCCACAAGCCTACTTGGACTTTGTCATTAAGACCACTAAAGATATCGATGCTCATCTTTTAAAAGCATAAACATCAAATAAAACTACGGCTTCATGTTTTGCTTCTTCAGGAAAAAGGGAATCTATCTATAATAATTATATTTTAAAGCCAAGCGTGAACTCATCTATAATGTCGTTATTGGTGCCGAAAATTAAATAAGATGCGTGTAATAAAGTGTTTGATCTTTGATTCGTGTGCTTAATGACGAGATGTTGGTTATATTAGGTATAAATGAAAATGGTGCGAGTGATCTTATGGCCTATTAATGATACATTTCCATGATCCCCTGAAATTTTTTTTTTTTTACTTCATTGGCTAAAATAATCAGTCGATCGACTTTGCCTATTCTACAGGAGCGATGATATAATTAATTAACATGAATGCAGAATTACAACTCGTTGATGATCTCTAATGTCAGTGGGCCGGGTCGACTCCTTATTATGTTCACCCAAAAAAAAAAACTGTCTTCAATTAAATATTTTAGTAGTTGATCTTAAATTTGAAATATTAATCTGTATCCAATAAAATTATATGTGCGCGCGCACACGCGTGCAGATAAAACACTTTTTGTAAGCACAATAACTAGATATATTATATATATATATATATCGTCAAGTGAACTAGAGTATGTTATATTAGTACAATAAGCCATTGCTTTTACAAGGAAAAAAAATAACGAAGCAAATTTGTGGTAGTTTTACTATTATTTTTAAAAAAATTCTGAATTTGAGTTAAGAATATTTTGAATTTTCAAGCAAAACACATGAGGTTGCCTTTACCTCGCTTGACATCATACAAAGTCTTTTGTTTTTTCCCCGACCAGTCTGATCACTACTCTATTTTTCTGCATATGATCTTCCTACTGTGTGGCTGTTCTTCCATTTCACGCACTAAAAAGGTTTGGTTATAGCTACATATGGCAATTGATGTTTTGGGCGTATAATAGACCTATGGGTCACATTCAAAGTGATACAGGGAGATCTGTTGGGTGTGTACAATAGCTTCAACTATATATTAAAATTAAAACAATTTTTTTTTGTTTTTTGGCTTTTTTTTAGATATAAACATTTTGAAACTAATTAACCTTTCAATGAATCATCCAAGCAAACTTCTGTCAAACTAACATTTTATAAACATTTATCTAAACATAAATTAATTAGATCAAACTAATCAACTTGTATCCCAACCCCAATCGATCAAAACAAAAGTTACGGACGTTGATGCATGCTTAAGTTGGCAACCTCATCAAGACATTAAGCTATTGTACACTGAAGCAGGTCTTTGAAGAAAGAAGATAAGGAAAAAAAAAACTGCAAAGAAAAAGAAAAAATAAATAATAAAAGGGAATGACCACAAAAACGGGGTGTTGTGAATGAAAGCATGAGGGTAAATTGTTTGCAAATTCCATCGGGCATTTAGAGGAGAAGGGAGGTCGCCATCTTCATCCTCATTCATACGCCTTCGCCTTTTCTTCCTTGAATCATCACCATAAGCTGCCACACTCCAAAAAATACAGCAACCCATCATCATTCTTCTGGGGCGAGAAATAGGAACGGGAAGGCGATTGCGAACTAGGTGGCTGATCAAGACCAAAGACAAAGGACAATCGCGAGCCTGGTGGTTGAAAACCAGAGATTCGAAAGATACTCATGAGCCAGAGACGTTCTTGGCCAGAGAGATAATGGGAAAGAGGCATGAGAGAGAAGGGGTAAAATTTTCAGAAGACCAGTAACGCTAAAATGACTTCTCCACCGTTGACCGTAGCATCTTGTGGCTTCCACGGTACTATGCTTTTACTGCTGTAAGTCATATTGAGAAAAAGTTAATCCAAACGAACATTTGTCTTCAAACATGCCACCAACTCACGTTTTGCACATTCCAATGCATGTTTTGATCTCAAAACGGAGATCCAAACACATGCTAAGTTGCCCATATGTTGTGGGTAATCAAGTTGGTGTGCCGATTGCCAAACAGAGCATGACTTTGTCAGCTATATATGCGAGCATTTGCACGTAGCTAAGCTAATACCAGTAAATAAAATGCACCTGCGACTACTTCCTATATTCCCTAATTAATAATACACAATAGATATAGCTAATATCGTTTCTAATTGGGTTCCAAAAGTCATATGATGATGACTTGTTGAATGCTTAATATAAATTAAATAGTTAGATGGGTTGATAAGGCCTATTTGAATTTGAAACTACAATAATATGAGGTGAGGATATTAGCAGTAGCACCTGCAAAGAAACAATTAATCCGAGTCACGTTCTAAGGATACTGTCTTTAAGAGCTATTCCGTAACCACCGACAGATGAGAATGGGCACTCCCCAGGATTGAACAAATTCTTCGTGTGAAACAGGGTGAGCAGAACAACATAAGATAATAATAAACTCAGCAGGTAAAAAAACACACAAGAGGGGTAAGAGAGGAGCTCGAAAACTCTAGAGCTGTGTGTTTTGAACTTTAGTTTTTTTTTTGGTGAATATTTTGAACTTTAGATTGAAGCACCTTTTTATAGGCCTCCATGATCTAAACGTTGCTTGCCTCTTAATGATAATAAAATTTCAGTTCTGAATGTTGAAAATCATTGAATAATTTAATTGCATAATCTGAACTGTTGGAGGCAAAGGAAGAAAGCATTCTGTTTTAAATTTCATAATCATCTTTTGATACATTAAAAAAGTTTAAAAGCACCAGGATTTCAAACCTTTCAAGCCATTAGACAATTATAGAGAATTTTCGTTCAGCAATTTAAATGCTTCAATGCATTCAAGGATTTTTCGGTTTAGGATTTTAATGGGCCACTTTAAATCTCTAAGGCATTGAAAATCCATTTATAACATTAAAACTATTTAACATTTGATTTTCCTATTCCAAAATCTGTCCATGATTAATGTTCAATTTGTGTTTTTATCTGCCCACATTCCCAATTACGTAGTATCCTTTCTTTGACACATCCACACAAATATCACAACATAGGAGGCCCGTATTATGATACCTATCTTCGTATGGCATAAACCCTAAGTTATATGTGAAATGTGTGAGGAGGAGGAAGACAAGATACGCCCAATACAACTGAATTTGGCTTCTTCTGTACAGTTAAGAGCCTGTAGTATATCAGTTTGCAGTTTGATCTGGAATAATAATAATGCACAACAAGAAACGGTGTGAAATAATGATATATTCACCACGTGCAGAGAACATGGCAAACTGCTTATATAGTTATATTCCAAACATATTTGTAGTTCATTTTCTCCCAAGATTCTTCATCTTCTTTCTCTATGGACGGTTTTGGCGCTGTGGCAGTGTGGCGCTATATAGTTTCTCATTATCTGTGCAACGCATAAAGACTTGGATTATCATTTATCAACATCGTTTTATTGTTTGCCCAAAATGGAAAATAATTTATGGTCCCTAATCACAGTTGTCGCTTGTACAACGACTGACATTAAATATTCAGATTTAGATCACTGATATCTTGATGTGGTTAAAGGATGTTGACTTGGCAAAAAAATTGATGGTTGATTTAATTTAAATCAAATTGGCAAGCTAATGTTGACATAATTTATAGTAGATACTCTCATTCTAGATAAAATATTGGAGGCGCGTTTAAATTGTTGATTTTATGCGCAACTTAAGACAATCAGAACTTGACTACTAACTTCTATAAAACTAACAATTTTATGTTTGGAAGCCACAAAAATGTAATACGTTAAATCCTTTTAAATTATTCTTGAAAAGTGTAAGATATTCAAATTCAATCCATACAGTTGACTAGTATCATAACGGACAAAAAATGTTAATTAGTATAATAAGCCAATTCTCTGTCATATTTGTGGAAAAATTATTAATTTTCTACTTGATCATTATTGAGTCGATCGATATTTTTTCTTTTTTTTGGTTTTTGGTCAGCGTAACAGATATCTGGTTTTTTAAAAGAAAATCAGTATAGCCGAGGTTAAATATTCTAAAATCCAAAATAATGACATAATATTATAATTATTTATTAGATTTAACTAATATATATTCTTGTCAATTGGTCGAAGGTCCATTTAATTTCACAGTTTAATTTCGGCCTCAAAAGGATCAACCCGGCATAGGATGCCCTCTTAGCACATGAAATCAAGAATGCTCACCTGATATTAGGCCACGATCTGTGGACATGAGTAGTTAGCTAGGTCATAAATGATACTACAAGCAAAGGAAATAAAGGATGATGATAGGACCAACAAACGATGGTGGTTTAGTTGAGATTTTTAACATTTGATAATTTAGTTATATGATATCATTTATCACAATCTGATTTTCTTCATGTTTTGAAATTCAGCTTGGAGCCCGATCCCCCACATACACAGGACATGCACAACAGACAAAATCTCAAAAAGAAAAACGTGAAAGTACATAAGAAAAACGTGAAAATTATAAAACATTAGTATCACTTAAGAAAAGCAAATTAAGCGCCCTACCCTTAGCTTGGGTTGAGCCCAAACCCCTACCTAATATTTTTGCATCAAAAAGAAAAAAAGAAAATGAAATTTTAGGTGCATAGTAGAGAAAGTTTCTTGTATTTAAGGTGCAACAAGCAAGCATCTCCAACCCCATCCGATCCATATCGCTCTCTTCTTTTCTTGAGCTGAAATCAGTGAGAAATGGCTCTGGCTGGAAAATTGGAGGCTGAAGTTGAGGTTCATTCACCTGCTGCCAAGTTCTTCAGCCTCTTCGTAACTCAACTTCACCATGTTCAGAACATTAGTGATCTAGTGCACGAAACTAAGGTGCATCAGGGAGACTGGCACGGCGTTGGCTCTGATTCTGTTAAGCACTGGTCTTATACTATCGGTAACGAAGCTTTTACCAAATACCCTTACCCATCATCATGCGATTAATTTCAAGGGTTTTTGATCAATTTCGCTTATTTTGCTAATGTTGATGTATGTTAATTACATACAGGAGATAAGGTAGTGAACTGCAAGGAGCACTTTGAAGAGATTGATCATGAGAACAAGTCACTCACATTCAACCTGTTTGATGGAGATGTTGGAGAAAAGTATAAAAGCTTAAAGGCAAAGCTTCAAGTCGCTGAAAAGGGAAGTGGTGCCCTTGCCAAATGGACTTACGAGTATGAGAAGCTCAGCCCGGAAGTCCCTCCTCCACAAGGCTACTTGGACTTTGCCACTAAGGTTACTAAGGATATTGATGCTCATCTCATAAAGGCATAGCCCTTTAAAAGCAATATGGATTTGGCTCTGTGGTTTTTGTTAGGGTTTTATGTGAACCAACTGTGTGTGCCAAGAATAAGAATGCATGTTTCGCTCTTAGGCGAAAAAGATGCATACTTGTGTGTTAAAATAAGCACCAGACGCCGTAAAACAACTTATGGCGTCTGCTGAATATAAACAGAAGCCGAAACATGATGAATTAATTAGCTACCACTTCTGTTCCTTTAATGACAAAGCAAAATCGAGTAATTATGTTAGTATTTTGTACTAGTGTGCTTGATGTTTTAGCATTGTGCTTCGTTATGAACCGTTGGTTCTGTTAATGGGACAGTTAAGTTTATTGTCTTCGTCATTTTATTCAATTTTAACTAGTCCTTATAACTAAATCCCTATGATTTACATCAATTTTTTTTTAATTTAGTCCTTGCCGCTAAAATTTTGCTAGTATTCATTAAATTTCATTATTACAGCTCATTCTATATTGTTGACACTCTTAATATATGTAATTTGTACGAAGAAAATTAATAAAACTGTAAATAATAAAAGGAGGAAAGAGTTATGTTGTTGAAGACATTCAGTTTAAGGTACCTACCATTTTTTTTAATCTCATACCCGGAAAAGACCTGCTTTACCATGTTTTGCCTTATATATAACGAAAAGGAAATATGAGGAGTGTTAATTTTAGCCAACCATTGCCGTTTTAATCAATTCATTTTATACAAGGATCTATATATACATACATACATACATATATATATATATATATCTGTGTGGGTGCGTATAGTAGACACACAGTACACGAGAATTGAAGAGGATAAAATTATTTTAGCGTGTAGTCATTTCATAAATTCAATTAAATACATGAATCAACAACTGGGAAATGTACCTCCTAACAAATCCTCCGGTCCTTAATATAGGACCTAATTGTTGAATTGATCTTAGTCCTAAACGTAAGATTTATTTCTCATATTTATCAATTTTTTTCTAAATTGCCTCTATTAAATCTCCGTCAACCATATTCAAATAAGAGAGGAAGAAGAGCTATTAAGAAAGATGATTATAGTGTTTTAGGAAAAAAAACATATCATATTTTTTATAATTAATTAACTTATCTAATTTACTTAATCTAATCAAATTAGTTAAATATACCTCATATCCAGGACTAGAGAAGTAATTAACAACACTGCATTTGACACCGACACGTACTGTTGCTACGACATTAAAAGTGATGAGCTCTATTTCAGCAGTTGCCCTTCTAATAATACATCTGCTGTTCTCAACAAACCGTCAAACAGAATGCATGTGGACGTAACTAGTGGATTCAATTAGTGTTGAGTGGGGCTCAGTTTCTATTTGGATGAAGGCCTGGAATTAGAAGCACATTAATTATATATTCAGCACTTAAAGTGGACAGAAGTTAGATCAGGGCAAGAGAGTGAAGGGATGCTAAAAGAAGGAAAGGCAGAAAAGCACGCATCTTGCGACCCGGGGGGGGGGGGGGAACCATTCTTGTATATTCCTATGATAGTCATTATATTGATAGGATTTTATATGAATTTCATTAATTACTGGATCAGGTTATAAGTTTGTTAGCAGGTTTGAAGACATCTAGCTCCTTATTTTCAACAATTGGATCATCAATTAGTTGCTTGGATTGCCAACAACCTTATAGCGTCGATAATAACACTTAGGCCGTTAGTCTGTAATTTTGTAAGAATGTTGATTTAGTTCTATGACCGTTAGCATTCATTAGTGAATTTGATTAAGGCTCTTTATAGTTATATGTTGACAGTTGTTTTATGGGTCCACATACATGACCCGCGGTTCTTGCTCTTACCTTTGAGGAGTTTTCTCATGTTTAAGATGGTGGTGCTTCTTAATCTATTTTTACTATTTAATTTTTATCATATATCGGTTTGAATTGTTTTTCGTAGATTCCTATAGGTGATGAAAATTTATTTCTCGTCCCGTAAGTTATTGTTCCAGTCACAATGAACGATGAGCCAACTTAATCACCAATTAATACTGCAAAAGTACAGCAATATAAATTAAAATAAATCCTCAGCTAACTATATGGATTTTTTAATTATCATAGAATAAAAATATATATATTTTTATAAACCATCATTTCATTCATTTAATAAAGTTTATTTTTCGTAGATTGCAGGTTCATCACATTATTATTAAATATTGATGTAATTATTTTATTTTTAATAAAAAACTTAAGTATAACCATATGGCCCTTAGTTATGCTATATCACTGGTGCATCTATTAGCCTAATCTTATTTATGATGAATTTAATAGATCTCGTCTCCATGATGCTATTTTTTATTATATCCAACGTCATAATATTATTTATAATTTAAGGTCCCAGAAACACACTAAAGATAAAAATAACATCAAAATGTTATGCACCATACGTTAGGATGTTGGATGTATTTGAAAAAAAAAAAATCAGGAGATATTGAATGTTCTTTACCCTAAGAAAAACGTGAGGGAACATACAAAGAAAGCAACATTTAAGGTATAGTAAAGAAAGTTTGTTCTATTTAAGGTCCACCAAACAAGCCTCTCTCCTGCCACATATCCATTACTCTCCTTGTTTCATCTTGAGCTCAATATCAAAGAGAAATGGCTCTCTCTGGAAAATTGGAGGCTGAAGTTGAGGTTCATTCACCTGCTGCCAAGTTCTTCAGCCTCTTCGTAACTCAACTTCACCATGTTCAGAACATTAGTGATCTAGTGCACGAAACTAAGGTGCATCAGGGAGACTGGCACGGCGTTGGCTCTGATTCTGTTAAGCACTGGTCTTATACTATCGGTAACGAAGCTTTTACCAAATACCCTTACCCATCATCATGCGATTAATTTCAAGGGTTTTTGATCAATTTCGCTTATTTTGCTAATGTTGATGTATGTTAATTACATACAGGAGATAAGGTAGTGAACTGCAAGGAGCACTTTGAAGAGATTGATCATGAGAACAAGTCACTCACATTCAACCTGTTTGATGGAGATGTTGGAGAAAAGTATAAAAGCTTAAAGGCAAAGCTTCAAGTCGCTGAAAAGGGAAGTGGTGCCCTTGCCAAATGGACTTACGAGTATGAGAAGCTCAGCCCGGAAGTCCCTCCTCCACAAGGCTACTTGGACTTTGCCACTAAGGTTACTAAGGATATTGATGCTCATCTCATAAAGGCATAGCCCTTTAAAAGCAATATGGATTTGGCTCTGTGGTTTTGTTAGGGTTTTATGTGAACCAACTGTGTGTGCCAAGAATAAGAATGCATGTTTCGCTCTTAGGCGAAAAAGATGCATACTTGTGTGTTAAAATAAGCACCAGACGCCGTAAACAACTTATGGCGTCTGCTGAATATAAACAGAAGCCGAAACATGATGAATTAATTAGCTACCACTTCTGTTCCTTTAATGACAAAGCAAAATCGAGTAATTATGTTAGTATTTTGTACTAGTGTGCTTGATGTTTTTAGCATTGTGCTTCGTTATGAACCGTTGGTTCTGTTAATGGGACAGTTAAGTTTATTGTCTTCGTCATTTTATTCAATTTTAACTAGTCCTTTATAACTAAATCCCTATGATTTACATCAATTTTTTTTTAATTTAGTCCTTGCCGCTAAAATTTTGCTAGTATTCATTAAATTTCATTATTACAGCTCATTCTATATTGTTGACACTCTTAATATATGTAATTTGTACGAAGAAAATTAATAAAACTGTAAATAATAAAAGGAGGAAAGAGTTATGTTGTTGAAGACATTCAGTTTAAGGTACCTACCATTTTTTTTAATCTCATACCCGGAAAAGACCTGCTTTACCATGTTTTGCCTTATATATAACGAAAAGGAAATATGAGGAGTGTTAATTTTAGCCAACCATTGCCGTTTTAATCAATTCATTTTATACAAGGATCTATATATACATACATACATACATATATATATATATATATATCTGTGTGGGTGCGTATAGTAGACACACAGTACACGAGAATTGAAGAGGATAAAATTATTTTAGCGTGTAGTCATTTCATAAATTCAATTAAATACATGAATCAACAACTGGGAAATGTACCTCCTAACAAATCCTCCGGTCCTTAATATAGGACCTAATTGTTGAATTGATCTTAGTCCTAAACGTAAGATTTATTTCTCATATTTATCAATTTTTTTTCTAAATTGCCTCTATTAAATCTCCGTCAACCATATTCAAATAAGAGAGGAAGAAGAGCTATTAAGAAAGATGATTATAGTGTTTTAGGAAAAAAAACATATCATATTTTTTATAATTAATTAACTTATCTAATTTACTTAATCTAATCAAATTAGTTAAATATACCTCATATCCAGGACTAGAGAAGTAATTAACAACACTGCATTTGACACCGACACGTACTGTTGCTACGACATTAAAAGTGATGAGCTCTATTTCAGCAGTTGCCCTTCTAATAATACATCTGCTGTTCTCAACAAACCGTCAAACAGAATGCATGTGGACGTAACTAGTGGATTCAATTAGTGTTGAGTGGGGCTCAGTTTCTATTTGGATGAAGGCCTGGAATTAGAAGCACATTAATTATATATTCAGCACTTAAAGTGGACAGAAGTTAGATCAGGGCAAGAGAGTGAAGGGATGCTAAAAGAAGGAAAGGCAGAAAAGCACGCATCTTGCGACCCGGGGGGGGGGGGGAACCATTCTTGTATATTCCTATGATAGTCATTATATTGATAGGATTTTATATGAATTTCATTAATTACTGGATCAGGTTATAAGTTTGTTAGCAGGTTTGAAGACATCTAGCTCCTTATTTTCAACAATTGGATCATCAATTAGTTGCTTGGATTGCCAACAACCTTATAGCGTCGATAATAACACTTAGGCCGTTAGTCTGTAATTTTGTAAGAATGTTGATTTAGTTCTATGACCGTTAGCATTCATTAGTGAATTTGATTAAGGCTCTTTATAGTTATATGTTGACAGTTGTTTTATGGGTCCACATACATGACCCGCGGTTCTTGCTCTTACCTTTGAGGAGTTTTCTCATGTTTAAGATGGTGGTGCTTCTTAATCTATTTTTACTATTTAATTTTTATCATATATCGGTTTGAATTGTTTTTCGTAGATTCCTATAGGTGATGAAAATTTATTTCTCGTCCCGTAAGTTATTGTTCCAGTCACAATGAACGATGAGCCAACTTAATCACCAATTAATACTGCAAAAGTACAGCAATATAAATTAAAATAAATCCTCAGCTAACTATATGGATTTTTTAATTATCATAGAATAAAAATATATATATTTTTATAAACCATCATTTCATTCATTTAATAAAGTTTATTTTTCGTAGATTGCAGGTTCATCACATTATTATTAAATATTGATGTAATTATTTTATTTTTAATAAAAAACTTAAGTATAACCATATGGCCCTTAGTTATGCTATATCACTGGTGCATCTATTAGCCTAATCTTATTTATGATGAATTTAATAGATCTCGTCTCCATGATGCTATTTTTTATTATATCCAACGTCATAATATTATTTATAATTTAAGGTCCCAGAAACACACTAAAGATAAAAATAACATCAAAATGTTATGCACCATACGTTAGGATGTTGGATGTATTTGAAAAAAAAAAAATCAGGAGATATTGAATGTTCTTTACCCTAAGAAAAACGTGAGGGAACATACAAAGAAAGCAACATTTAAGGTATAGTAAAGAAAGTTTGTTCTATTTAAGGTCCACCAAACAAGCCTCTCTCCTGCCACATATCCATTACTCTCCTTGTTTCATCTTGAGCTCAATATCAAAGAGAAATGGCTCTCTCTGGAAAATTGGAGGCTGAAGTTGAGGTTCATTCACCTGCTGCCAAGTTCTTCAGCCTCTTCGTAACTCAACTTCACCATGTTCAGAACATTAGTGATCTAGTGCACGAAACTAAGGTGCATCAGGGAGACTGGCACGGCGTTGGCTCTGATTCTGTTAAGCACTGGACTTATACTGCCGGTAAGCTTTCACCAAATACACGAAAACTACCCGTACTGATTAATTAAGCTCACTTGCTAATGTTGATCGATCTTAAGTACAGAAGGTAAGGTAGAAACTTGTAAGGAGAGCTTCGAAGAGATTGATCATGAGAACAAGTCATGCACATTCAACCTGTTTGATGGAGCAATTGGAGAATAGTATAAGAGCTTAAAGGCAAAGCTTCAAGTGGCCGATAAGGGCAGTGGTGCCCTTGCCAAATGGACTTACGAATATGAGAAGCTCAGCCAGGAAGTCCCTCCCCCACAAGCTTACTTGGACTTTGTCACTACGGTTACCAAGGATCTTGATGCTCATCTCACAAAGGCATAGCCCTCAAAACATCGAACAGAAGGAATATATGTAATTTGGCTTGTGTGTGGTTATTAATTAGAGGGGTTTTATAATCTAAATAAAGTGCGTGAACCTATAATGTTGGTACCTATAACTAAGGATGGGAATTTCCTTCCACCAGCAGGGAGAGAAGCGATTCCTTCACATGTATTAATGTATATTAAAGTGTTTGACCTTTGTAAGTGCGCTTAATGTTATAAAATATATGTTGATTATATTAATGTGATGCAGAGATCATATCTTTGTCCCTATGATTTTAAATGTTAGCTTGATCCTAAAAGCCAGTTGAAACTCAAATCTGTCAATATGATTGTCATAAATCTCAACCAAGCTCTATCAATAAATTCTCTGAAAGCTCAGCTGGTTTAGACGGGAAGGCTTGTGTGTGGCTACTGGCTCAGGTGGTTGAGTCCTAGAAAACAAGATATTCAAAGTGTCCATTTGCAGTAACTATAGAAAAGTTTACCAAGACAAATTTTTTTATGGAAACTATTGGAAGTCGTTACCAAAAATATTGTTATAATTGTACACAAATTTAAGAGGAAGAGATTTGATAGCAACTATATTAAAAGTGACGATAGATAGGAGTTATGTGCCCCTGCTAATTTGGTAAGCTTTCACAAAATCCTGCCATTCTTTGGCACACCAAAATTATGTGTCCCGTTATGATGAAGCAGTTGCAAGAGTTTAAATTTTGCTTCTTGGTTTAATAATGCAGTGAGTTTTGTCATCAAATCGTTTTATTTCTCTAATTTAAACTATGATATGCAATCCCTTGTAATTTCATATAGGAAGCAAGGAGTTCAGTCCCTGCAACATATTACTTCCGGTCCTAATTATAAGATCTCATTTGTAGTTTTTAAACAAGATCTTATAAATAAGACCGTAGTATATCTTTTGACACTTTAATTCCTTAATTGAATTTATATATTCTTTTACATGGTCTGTCCCTTATTAAAACTGTGTAGATTACGTACTTCAAATTGCAATTCCCTTCATTGCATGAGATGGAATATTTACTCTACTGTAACAATTCATACTACGGGCGAAACAGATTATTCGATCGAGAGATTAATTTGCATGTATATACACAGGAATATATTAGTTTACTAATAGCTCAGAATATAGAATTACCTGCCGGAGGGATAGCAAAGGAATTAAGATGAATTGTAAATTAGGCTTAGTTTACGCTACATAATTCTCATGCTGATTCACTTATATATAAGTGAAAAGTTTATATTGGTTAATCTACTTGATCTTAAGTATGTTAAAATGATAATTAGTGGAACTTTGCAAGGAGAACTTTGAAGAGATTGATCATGAGAACAAGTCATTCAGATTGGAGCAGCTGTTTGATGGAGATGTTAGAGAAAAGCTAATAAATAGGTGACAAAGAAGGGGCAATGGTCCCCCTCTTCTTAAATATCTCCAGTTTTTTAAATTTTCATAAGTTTCAGCATTCAATCAACACCTCATAAATATAAGGTACCCCCAACCAACTCTAATAATTTACAAATTATTAGCTCAGGTATGAAGCTGCTTCATTGTCCCTTTCCTATATGTGTCTACTATTCTTAACAAACATTCAAACAGTATATTATAAATATGTGTTAGCTAATGCAGCTGAGCTGCAAACGGCTATTCAAATCCTTGATTATTATTATTATTATTATTATTATTATTATTATTATTATTATTATTCTTTGGGTTTGGGTGGTGCTACGACCCTTGAGAGAGATTAAGTACGTAGTGGGCGCTCATCATTATATTGTGGAACTTTATACTTCATCGTTTCATTTAAAATGATAAGTGATAACGTAATTTATAGTTCACATTATGTCATTTTATTTATCGTACACTTTTTTTATCAAACTTAACATAATATTTTACTTGATGATTTAAATCATAATTAAGCAATAAACAATATTATGCAGGCTACACAGTGTAAAGTGTCGAGTCCAATAAGTTATATACTATGCTCTTCCTTAAAAGGAGTGTGTGTGTGTGTGTGTGTGTGTGTGAAAATTATAATAAATCACTTAGGGAGAATAACCTTAGGGTAACTCGTAAAAGATATTATTGATGCTTCATCATTATCATAAGCACAATTATTTGTAATTTATCCTACGGAGATTAATGACCATATCATACCTCATTAATGAACTGCTGTTTCGAAATAGGTACCAAAGTGTGTCTATATATAATTTCCTTATAAAGTACTATGCCTCTGATCTTTAATATAAGAATTAGTGGACTAATTTGAGTAGATTAAGAAAATTAGTTAAGTTAGTTATTTATAATAAAGAGGTGTTGTTTTTCCTAAAATATCCTTGCTAATCAAGTGTATTGGTTAGAACTACTGTTATTACAAGGACTATCTTAGAAACAAATGGATAAATATAAGAAACATAATGAATTATGATCTTATATTTAGGATTAAAATAAGAGTTAAGGTGCGCTCAGCACCCCAAACTATTTTCTCAGGTGTATCCAGTGTCCTAAAGTAATTTTTGGTGCATCCAGTGTCCCAAACTAATTAAAACGGTGCATCCAGTGTCCCAAACTAATTAAAACAGTGCATCCATATCCCGGACTAACAGAAAAGTTAAGTTTGACCGTTAGTTGACCGAAAAATCTGACGTGACGGACATGTAGGCATCTGATGTGTATTATCTTAACGAGTTAAGGTGCGCCCAGCACCCTGAACTATTTTCCCAGGTGTGTCCAGTGTCATAAAGTAATTTTTGGTGCATCCAATGTCCCAAACTAATTAAAACAGTGCGTCCACATCCCAGGCTAACAGAAAAGTCTCGTTTGACCGTCACCTTGTTGATTCAGCTGAAGGTTGATCGAAAAATCCTACATGGCGGACACGCAGGCGTCTGATGTGTATTATTTTGACTAAAAATTCAATTTATTTCCTCCGCTTCTAACATTTATCTTCTACCAGTTTTTAAACTTAAAAAAAAGAAAGACCACCGATCTACCCTCTTAAATCCTAGTACATGTACCACCTATTCAATCCCATTTCTTCCACTACTCCGATTTGAAACCACAACTGCTGTCACAGGCTCACAGCACACTTCCATCTTCATCTCTGTCGACTCCTCATCCGACTCGCATTTGCTTTCCTCCTCGTAGAACATAGTAAACTTCCCCTTAGTCACTCCATCGACATTGTCGTCGCCTTCTGAGAAAACATCCTCCACCACGGGGCTCGTCTCGGGAGCTTTAGTCAAAATAATACACATCAGACGCTTGCGTGTCTGTCATGTAGGATTTTTCGGTCAGCCTTCAGCTGAATCAGCAAGGTAACGGTCAAACGAGACTTTTCTGTTAGCCTAGGATGTGGACGCACTGTTTTAATTAGTTTGGGATACTGGATGCACCAAAAATTACTTTAGGATACTAGGCGCACTTGGAAAAATAGTTCAAGGTGTTGGGCGCACCTTAACTCGTCAAGATAATACACATCAGATGCCTACATGTCCGCCACGTCAGATTTTTCGGTCAACTAACGGTCAAACTTAAACCTAGGATATGGATGCACCATTTTAATTAGTTTGAGACACTGGATGCACCGAAAATTACTTTAGGACACTGAGTGCACCTGGGAAAATAATTCGAGGTACGGAATGCACCTTAACCCTTAAAATAAAAGTCAAACGATTTCTTATAATAAGGACTAGAGGTAGTAGTTAAATGTATATTTTTAATTATCTGTGATATTTTAGCTAACCTTTTAGCAAGTAGCATAGATATATATTCTCATATTCTCAACCGCTCAAATAATAAAATTATTGTGAGTGATTCAGTAGAGATATGCATGTCTGTCTATTCTTTATAAGGCTCAAAGGTTCCTTCCAGTACTCCACAACAATCTCTCCCTATTCCTTGAGGTCTCGCGATGACAAATTAAAGAGCTTGAAGATGAAGCTTCATGTGATTGAGAAGGGTAATGGTGCGCTTACATAATGGGCTTTTGAATACGAGAAGCTGCATGAGGGCGTGCCTCCTCCGGAAGCCACTTGGACCCTTATCACTAACATTACTGAACATATTGATGCTCATCTTATGAAGGCATAGCCCTCAAATATCAGAGAGAAGGAATACTAGGAATTAGCTTGTGGTTATGAGAGGGCCCTTATCCCAATGGTGTCAGCTTATATACTCTTCCGGTCCTAAATATAAGACCTTTATAGACATTATATACATTATATAAGGGTTTTATATATATATATATATATATTATTTAGGGCCGGAGGAGTATATGGTCTTGTTGGTATCAAGAATAACGATACGTGTCCAAGTTCACTGCTCGTGTTAAAAATGTTTGATCTTTGTGAGTGTCTGTGATTATTAAGTTTTTTGATACACACTTATCTTTGTCAGTATTATTATAGTTTTTAGTTTATATAATCCTTAAAGCCAGATTAGTTCGTGGTATAATATAGGACTTGAATAGAGATATCATTCTCATTCTTTTTTCTGTTAAATGAAAAGTTTGGGTAAGTTGAATTTCAAAAACTTACCAAAATCAGAACATGCCTCTAGACATAACGTTAATACACCATTCTCATTTTGAAATAGGTAATTGAGGACGTTTTGTTTTTCGACCCAATTCTGAATTACAAAAGAAGTTGAGAAACAACAGTATGTGTTTTGCTCTAAAATTTTAATCATAGAAACTTGTGTTATCGAATAAAATAATCAATAAATTAAATTAACCCAAAATCATTCCCTCTCACACACACATGTATGATTTAAATTTGATATTGATATTTCAAAATTTGACATTAAAAACTTCTATCAAATGCAATAATTTTAGTAGAAGATCAAAAGACACTAAGAAATTTGATTCTAATATCCAAAGTTTAGCACTAAGATTCCAAAATTTGATAGGAGCACAACTTCAAAACATCGATGTGAAATTTTAGAACCTTCTAGTCCTAAACAAGATTTATTTTTTGTTCTGAATA